ACGCTTTTTTCCAAAAAGCTTTTCTATCACCAAGGCTTTTATGAAGATGGGAGAGAGAGACTATGGAAGATGAAAAATATGAAATTAAAAATTACTAACTTTAATAACCCCTCCTGGAAAAAAAAAAACTCGCATTATCTCATTTGCAGTGTGCACAGCTCTTGGCAAATTACCATTCAAAACTTAACAAAGGATTTAAACTCTATATATAGCCCTCTGAAAAATGTAGTCTCTTTCCTGTGATCTCTTGCCCTGCTAGCGTGCATTGCTTTGCTATATCATCTACTGAATAGAAATTTGACAAGAGCATACTAATTTGCGAAGTGGTTGTTGCATCCATAGTGATGTGAAAAAGAGAGCATATTTCCTAAGAAATTATTCATCAAGAAATAAAATTATATAGTCAATATCCAGCTAATTGTGTATTCATCCATTCTATATTCTATTTGTGTACGAGCTAGAACTATAACCATCCCAGTCATGATTATGAAGGAATTGGCATCATCATCATCTACAATATTACCACACACACACATACACTGGTGTGCAAAACTTAAGCAACAGGTGTTCGTTTTTGCATAACTCCATGAGAAATCATCTGAGAGACATGAAATTCAGAATTAAGAGACAGTATTTTGTATTTAAACCATGACAAAAGTATAATTGAGCTAAAATTGAATACTATGCATACAGTATGAAATCAAACAAAGATAGCTTTATTAAATTCATAGTATTGTTATACATGATTGTCTGTACAAGAGGATGAACAACAAGCAGATGTTCCTTACTATGAGGTATGCCCTCCCCTTACTGCAATGGTTGCTTCGAACAGACTCTCCATACTCAGCACCAGATTGTCCAACAGATCTTGAGATAAGAGTGCCCATTCCTCAATCAGCATCTATTTCAGTTGCTGTATGTTCCCCGGAGGATGTAATCGTGCCACAAGGCATCTCCCCAAAGCATCCAACACATATTCTACGAGATTTAAATCAGGGGAGCACGCTGGCCAATCCATTCGAGTGATATTTTCACTTTTCAGTAGCTTCTGAACAGCAGGAGTCTGGTGTGGCCGTGCATTGTTATTCATAGAAACGAAGTTTGGTCCAATGACACCTCGGAACAGATGCACATGGGGAAGGATCATCTCCTGACAATAGTGATCTCCAGTTACAGAACTTCTGTCGAACATGTGGAGCTCTGCCCGCCCGTTCAGCATAATGCCTATCCAGACGAAATCTTCAGGACACCGTAACGGTCTCTTTCCATGATATTACTGAGATTTAACTGTATTTTGACCTTTCTCCAAATCAATTTATGTTGAGAATCACTAATGGCACTAAAAGGACTCTTATCCGTTGATGAGATGCCCAGTTTTTGCGCTTCTTGCACCACTGTAAACGGTGAAGCCGATGGCCAACTTTCAAAGATATGCAGCGTTCAGGACGGCAGGCAAATAAGCCACCTTTGTGAAGGTGTTTGCACACTGACACTTGTCGCCCCGTTGCTGTACACTGTTGTTGAACTATGGAGTTTGGTGACTGGTTTCGGGCTCTTTTCGCCTGCAGGACAATATATCGGTCATCCACTGCAGTTGTTTTCCTTGGGCGGCCGCCACCAACCTTTCTAACAGCTGTACTTATGGTTCGTAAGGCTTTCCAAGCGCGCGAAAAGACACTTTTGTTGATTCCAAAGTCTTCAGTTATACTGGTCACACTTCGCCCCTACTCCATATTTTCAATCATTCTTCCACATGTGAAGTCATCCAGATCATTTCTTCTAGCCATATTTCATGAAAGAACTTCCTGTACTTGCAGCGAATGTCTTTAATTGCGTCTCCATCCTTCTTTTATGGTAGTCTCGAGTTGAGCACACCGACCGTACACGTTTTGCGTACGCTCATGTAGCCTGTGACATTATTTCCTTGACATTTGCATACGCATTTAAAGCTGTAGTACTTTTTACTGAATTGCGTGTTCATCGTACTGATCGCAAGAACCCCTTTTCTACAATTTAATGGTTATCTGATTAAAATTTACATTGTTGCTTAAGTTTTGCACACCAGCGTATATTAAACAAAATAGATGGGGAAAATCACTTATTGTCAAAAATAAACACAAATATACAAATTTACATACCCTTTAAATATATGTTTCTTTTTACACATGCTAGTATGAGAAGAAATTAATTTTACACAATTCGAAATTTTGCATGCTATTCTTAGTTCAAAATTTCTGAATGCAAGTTAAAATGACTGAATGCCTTTTAGAAAAAGGCTCAACAATATTAAGTATTTTTCATGATTGTTACAGCATGACAACTGCTTAAAAAGAAAGTGCCATCAAAATTCATGTGAAAAGACAGACTGTCAAGAAATGTAAAACAATGGAGCACTGTTCTGCTAGATAAATGTTTACTAGCATTAGTGTCAGAACTTCCACAGTCACTGCTACCACTATCAGAATCATTCATTTCTAATGTATAAACACTAAGCATATAAGCTACATTAAATGTAATTTAAAGCTGTAGTACTTGCTTTTAATAATTGATTAATGAAATATTCTATAAAACTTACTAAACAAAATGTCACCCAGACGATATAGTGGTTAGGGGAGCCTACTTGGTACCGAAGGGGGCCAGGTTCGAATCCTGGAGAAAACATCGATGTTTGTAAATGTATAGCGTGTATTCCTTGGGCGGCCACCACCAACCTTTCTAACAGCTGTACTTATGGTTTGTAAGGCTTTCCAAACGCACAAAAAGACACTTTTGTTGATTCCGAAGTCTTCAGCTATACTGGTCACACTTCGCCCCTACTCCAGATTTTCAATCATTCTTCCATGTGTGAAGTCATCCAGATCATTTCTTCTAGCTATATTTCATGAAAGAACTCCCTGTACTTGCAGCGACTGTCTTTAATTGTGTCTCCATCCATCCTTTTATAGTAGTCTCGAGTTGAGCGCGCTGACCGTACACGTTTTGCATACGCTCATGTAGCCTGTGACGTTTTTTCCTTGACATTTGCATACACATTTAAAGCTGTAGTACTTTCTACTGAATTGCATGTTCATTGTACTGATCGCAACAACCCCTTTTCTACAATTTAATGGCTATCTGATTAAAATTTACATTGCTGCTTAAGTTTTGCACGCCAGTGTATATTAAACAAAGTATATGGGAAAAATCACTTATTGTCAAAAATAAACACAAATATAAAAATTTACATACCCTTTAAATATCTGTTTCTTTTTACATGTGCTAGTATGAGAAGAAATTAATTTTACACAATTCGAAATTTTGCATGCTATTCTTAGTTCAAAATTTCTGAATGCAAGTTAAAATGAATGCCTTTTAGAATAAGGCTCAACAATATTAAGTATTTTTCATGATCGTTGCAGCATGACAACTGCTTAAAAAGAAAGTGCCATCAAAATTCATGTGAAAAGACGGACTGTCAAGAAATGTAAAACAATGGAGCACTGTTCTGCTAGATAAATTTTTACTAGCATTAGTGTCAGAACTTCCACAGTCACTGCTACCACTATCAGAATCATTCATTTCTAATGTATTAATGCTAAGCATATTAGCTACATTAAATGTAATTTAAAGCTGTAGTACTTGCATTTAATAATAGATTAATGAAATATTCTATAAAACTTACTAAACAAAATGTCACCCAGACGGTATAGTGGTTTGGGGAGCCTACTTGGTCCCGAAGGGGCAGGTTCGAATCCTGGAGAAAACATCGATGTTTGTAAATGTATAGCGTCTGTGTGGCATGGGGGGTACTCTAAATATGCAGCTAGCCAAAAGTCCTCTTGTGTGGTTTGGTGGAAGTGCTCTCAATTAAAAAAGTCCAAACTCTCTTTGGAGTAGGCTCTGGCAACCATGCTTCCAGGTAATATAGACACGACAACAACAACCACAATAACAACACAGAAAATGTTCAGGAAATTTAATTATCATTGTTCAAAAGAAAACACTTCCCTATCAAATCAAACCCAGTGGTTGATTGATGCCACTATGCAAAAATGTACAGTGACACCATCTATGCAAAAAACAAGCCAGAATAAATGAAACATGACAATAAAAGATGCCAGATTTCAAAGCTTATATTACATACAAACAAAGCTGCTAATGGTTAAATGTCTCATAACTTGAGGCAGCACTATTCCCTAACACAATTTTTTTATTATTATTATCATGATGAAAATTATATTCTGATAATTTAAAAGTGTTTTTTAGCTCTGAATACTTGCCTATATCAGATTCCCGTGAGAATATCTAAAAAATTGTCTTTACTTCCACTCTAAATGGAAATGCACCAGCCATCTTATTTATTAGGCATTAAATTTAAAAATCAGATTTAATAACCGGAATATCAAAATAGATAATTCAACATGCCATAACATCACATTATCATGTAATTCACTTAAATCTCAGTTAATACTTCCATTAAAATTAATGTCAGCATACTGTGTACTTACTGAACATTGATTTGTCGTGTTTCAGAATGAGAAATAAAATTAGGATAAACAACATGGGACTATGATGACTCATTTAGAGATCTTGTAATCAAAATCTAGCTCACATTATAAATTATGATGAATTATTATTAACAACTATTTACCATAGAAATGGTTCAAGACCAGCAAAAATACACCTTTGATTTATTTAGTACATAAAATACTTTATCTTGTTACTTATGTTCTCAGAAATACTGGTTACTTCCAGAGGCAGTTGCTAAAAGAGAGTTTTCTGTATTTGGGTAAGACTCATGCTATAAAAATTCATTTCATGTTACAGAAAAAGCACTTTAGAGTAGAATAATCAACTGGCTTCAATTAAACAAGCAATTCGTAAGTCATGAAAATAATATATGCATAAAAAGGGAACTTTTGCTTATTCCAGCAACAGAACATGCATTAAAGTCATGAGAATATATACCCGAATGCAGAAAAACTTTCAGCCAAGTCAAATGTCTTATACATTGAACTTACACTTGAACGAAATTCTTCACTTAAATCAGGTACTGGAAATGATACATTTAAACTTCTTAAATCTTTCACAGGAACAACGTAGCCCTGTAGCTGTAAAAAAAGAATGAAATTGCATAAAAACCCAAGACAATATACATTTTTATAAAATATGATATTACTATAATGGGCAGTTTGCCTATAAAACTAAACACACTATATTCAGTCATGTTCTGTTTAACGTATCATAATTACCACATCATTGTGGTAATTTATAAGCATTTTGCCTGTTAGCAATTCATGGTAATCCAACAGTATCGGATTACAACTTTTTAACACCTTGGTTGCCATGTAGGTCACCAGTGACTGACATCTGGTTATTTCAGTAGCACTGCAGGAGTCATGGGTGACCAGTTGAGGAGACTGATATTTCTGCCACTGTTCAGCAATATCAATCATACTCTCTGTGTATTTCACTATATAAATTGACTGGCATGGCCCTTCTGCATCTTGCTGCAATTTGATTCTTTGAAAGAAACATAATATATGCTTATATGTGAAAAAAATGTGTGTAAAAAATAACTCATTAGGTACAAAGGTGATTTTACTGATTAGAAAACAAAAAAACATCAAGACTAACATAATTATGGAAACAAAAAGTAAATCAATAAAGATGTGTTTATTAATTTATTAAAACATGTTAAACAATAATATGGCTGAAAAGGAGAGTGAGAGCATTATGCTGTCATTTTTTTGGCTTACTTTCTGTCAGGACTCGCAATGTTAAATAACTATAGCACTATTTTCTAACCATTCTGACCGCTCCTTCCTTGCATTTGTGTATTCCATTGGCACCACGGCAGGCACTGGTGACCGCATGTAAAAAAAGCCTCTTAAAACTGTTTAGAAATGCGCCAAAGTAATAAAATACTAATTATGTTTATATATGCTCACATAATAAGCCTGAAAAGCAATAGCCATTTTTAACCAATTTATACAAAATTCTATGGCAATCAAAGGGTTAACATAAAAAATTAATTTATAAGCATAAAATTCCAAAATAAATGTAATACACACTCAGTTAAATAGCACATTGAGGGGAAAATTATTTTATTAACAATTCTAAGGTGTGTGGGGGGGGGCCTAGTTGCAAAATTCTGAGCATAAGCCAATACAAACCTTTAAGTGTCTTGAATCAAAAGGATGTTCGTTCCATTCTGGAATTTGGACATTTTTATTCACTATTCCAGAAAACAAGGGAATAACAATATCCATTAAGTCTTCCAAACTTTCTATAAAACAAAAGCAAGGTTTTAAAACATAGGTCCTCAAAATATAATGAGGTGCACAGTTTAAAAACAAGAAACATGTAAGTATGTTGTTTTGAAACTTCTACAACAAAAATTCAGTATTTACTTCACCCTTATAAAATGTAACAGTTTTCTGATCTAATGGTCAAATACAGGTAGACTAGTTGCGTAAGATTTACAGCATGATGTATCATAAATAATCTATATCAAAGTAAAATTTAAAATTTAAAAGTTTAATTAGTGAATAAACTAAGTAGCTATACAAAATCTAAAACTATGACTTGATAACATACTAACAGCCATTCATAAAGCTTGTAACATGTAATAAAAAAGGGAGACAAATTTACCATTTCTTAGTTACAATTAAAACAACATTAGTTGCATTTTTCATGTCTTAAAAGGGCAAATCAGGACTTACAAGATGTTTAAAAAGGATTACAAAACAAAATATCTGTCAAACTGTTGGTCTTAAATCTGTGGTTCCAGTTAAAAAAGTGAATAAAGTAAACTTTAAGACAGTTAAATTCCATGACAAAAATCTTTCACTAAAAATATATGAAACATCAATTTTTATATGGACCCTGTAGGAATGGAATATCCTCATAAGAAAATATTTATTCCAAATATCAATAATTAAAATTATTGGAACTAATACAAATATTTAAAACACTTATGCATTTTAAAATCTCTCTTCTTAAATACATATGCATGAGTTTTAATTCTTAATTTGTAAAAAGGTCAAAATCTGTAATTCTTTACATGTTTTTACACAGCTCCTAAAAAGACTTGCTATTCCTTTTTCATTTTGGTATGAACGTGTTGAAATAAGCCCTACAATTCAAGCAATTTTTTCCAGAGATCACTGTGATGCATTTAATGTTAATGATTAAGTAAATTCATAAAAAACAGTTAAATGATCATGTCTACAATTTGCTTTAATTTAAGAGGATGGAAGAGCAATATTCATCAAATATATATCTAAAAATTATGGTGACACTTTTGTTCTAGGAATCCTGCAGAATTTGAATATCGATACCTTACTGTGCAATATCGCATTAAATGAGTTTGCTTGTAATACTAAGATTATGAAGAGATTATTATTTTATTTTCTGAACTGTTCAAATGATTTGGAAATTGAAAATTTCTTCGGATGAAGTGTCACCTAATGACATTCAAACTAAATTTCATACACGAGTTTCTAATATGCAAATACTGAAGGATACAGCGATACGTCATTATATAAAACTGCAGCAATAGAATTCCACATGTTTGTGGATGCTAGCAAGTTGGCTTATTCAGTCTCCATTTTTTCCTAGACATGTCAATAACGCTCATAAAAGCAAACCATTGCTCCATTAAAACCTTTAACTAATCCTTAACTTGAATTAATGGCTTCCTGTTTAGCAGAAAACTTAGCCTTTTTCATTTGGACAAACTCCTGATTTGTTGGATATAAGAAGTGTATTTAAGCCAGATTCAACCATTATCTAATGGTGGTTCAATGAACAGGGTGACTGGTCCATTTTTATCACTAACTCTGTCAGAGAAATTAAGCAAATGATTCCATTTTAGTCTTAGAGACATGTTTCCAGTCATATGAATCTAGCAGGAATATCCCATGGATATTCACCCAAACAGATCATACATTCAGAATGGTGGATCAGACCAGAATGATTAAAATAAAATCTTGAATTATATCCCATTAATATATTTTACTCATCAAATAATATAGATGCAAAAAGAAGGAAAAAGCCAATTAACTAATATTAGGTTTCCATTTAACTCTGTTTCATGGTATGTGGGAAGATCTGATTATGACAAGCTTATTTCAGCTACCGGGTGGATATTATGATTCAATAATAACTAAGAAAATTTCTGGCACTTGTCTGATTATGACAAGCTTATTTCAGCTACCAGGTGGATTTCATGACTCATTAATAACTAAGACAATTTCTGGCACTTGTAAGGCTCTGAGTTTTCTTTTTCTGAGATAGAAAACTCTGAAATGGTACTGATTTGAGCTTCGCAAAAATGTTAATTTTCTGACATTAAAGTTATCATTTCGTTAAATGTTTTTACAAATGAAAATGAGAATATTAGACTTTTGACTTGTATTGTTAAAGATGATCCAGTGTTTCTTTTACCTGATGAATGTGTTTTCTACTCATAAAATGAACAGTCATGCTGGTACACACATACTGCAATGTATATTAAGAAAAAAGTACTGAACTATGGTATCATGCAAAACATCGAAGGCCAAACCAATGTCAAGTGAACTTACCCCACTATAATCAGATTGTATTAAAAATTCTAAGGCATTCGAGAGAGTGGATATCGATTTAGCAGGCTCTTTATTTTAAAAAATGGAGAAATGGTGCATATAGTCTTTTATGTGCACAGTCTATCACAGCGTTAGTGTGTCCTCTATCAAAAGAATCCTTTTTGCTTGCTCCGGGGTGATTAACAACTAGGTGAAGTAGATCCAAACAATCCATTCAGAGAAAGGAACAAATTTTAGAAGTGGTTTTAATGAATTATCTAGCTCAGGCTGGGACATGATTTTGAAGGGAACGAAAACAAAAAATTTAATACACTTGCTGCTCTCGGTGAAGAAGCTTTTGGGAACAATTAGCTTGTGCACTTAAAGAACTATTATGATGGACCCTCGGAAAGGCAGTTTTGTTAAATGAGGAGCTAGTAACAATCTTTTGTGATTGCACACTAGGTATCAACTCTTGTCTCTCACTTATAGTTTCCAAAAACTGAGAAGACTTAATACCCTTAACTCCATCTATGTTTCTGACTGAAAATAATTACTGAAAGGTATGCAATTTTGATGAGATTAACTGGAAATTTTTCCTTTTAAGAATAAAATATCAAACTAAACTACTTAGATACTTAAGACATTGATTTAGAAAGGAATACTCAAGTAATTTAATGCAGAAAAATTTTCAAAAAGGGAAAAAAAAAAAAGATATGGGAACTTAAAATGAATGAAATTGTCTTAATATCAGATGATCAGAAGAAAAGTGCGGTGGGAGAACTCTTTTGGAAAAAACTGTGGTGTTGATTCAGGGTCCGGATGGTATGTTCACACCACAAAGATGAACACTTCTGGTATTTCCTAGAGACCAGCTCAGTGTTATTTCCTCATTAGAAATTAATCCCCACATAGCACAAACTATCCTTGGGATATTCTGAGGATGTTGCTCACGCAATATGAGCACATCCTCAGGACAATCCGGAATATCCCCTGAACCTCGTAAACACCCGGATTATGGAATTAAAGACTTTGTACTGTATAATCTTCTATATATTTGAAAAGTGAAGAAATATATCATGAATTAAATTCATTTTAAATCAATCAGATTGAAAAGTTTAAAAAAGTATATTGTTAAGAACTGTGTGTATTGCTTTTAAATAGCTTGGCTTGTTAATTGATAACAGATTAGATTTTAAGGTAAATATCTTACATTTTGCCAAATGGCAAGACTTGAATGAAAAACGAAATGAGTTTACAATTGATACATTTCAAAACTAATAGCTTTTTTGGATTAAAAAAAAAAGCTTGAATATAATTTGCACTGGTTCATTGGTATTAGTTTATGCAAAATTCAATAAAATGAAATTTACCAGTTGAAATGGACACGAAAATTAAACTTTGTAAATTCTAGCACATGTTAAAGATTATCTCATCCACAATTTTATTACTAACTATTCATTTCAGAGCAAAATAAAACAGTAATTGCCTTTCATATGACAATCATCAATATCAGTGTCAAAAATTTAAATCTGCATCTTACGCAATACAGAAAAACTCTAAAAGAAGATCTACTGTATGTTTACATTGCAATTAAAGGCATTTTATTCTACGATCAGCTCCACCAATTATTTATACTTTTAAGTACATTCAGTTGACTACTCTTTCTGCTTAGAGTCTAGCACTTTTGCATTAAAAGAACTCCAACAAAAAGTATTTGATTAAAAAAATATGAAAAGTGATAAACAAAAGTGTTATTTATGAACTGTCTCCTTTAGTGATATCCTTGAGCGAAAATTTTCTGCTTAGGGTAATCATATTAAAGTTTGATCTTTTTGATAAAATTAACTATATTTTTCAGTCGGGAATCACATACTCAAATGACGGAAACGAGGTTGCAGAATCCTAATAAAAAACAAATGATTCTAATTTCCCTTGACAATGGTCTTGGTTGAGATATGTTTCAATGCCAAATCTATTACTAGTTTTATTTTCTTTTATAAAAATTATAAAAGAAATATTATAGTATAACTTTCTTTGAACATTTTGTATTTGCCATGATGCATGGTCACTTGTAATTTAGTCTGGAAATGAACAGTTTTACTTTACATAATGATGTATTATTTTCATTTCATAGCAGTAATCACGTAACACTGGTTATATGTTATGAACTTTGAAGGCCATTTATTTTGAATTACTTTAGAATTAACGAAGAGAGAATGTAGTTTATTGGTATGCTTCCACGTTGTAACTCAGTGTATAAATAGTGTATAAAATAGTTAAGCAATAGAAAATGCTCACTCGACAGTTCTCTACAAAGTTGAAGCAAGGATCATAATTTGTGAAGAGTTTCATTTCCTACTTTTTTAACAAATAACAAAAATATTTTTACAACTAAACAAAATATAATTAAGATAAAATAACACACCGAACACGTATTAATTTAGAATGCTGATTTTTGTTGTTTGATGATATAATCCTGATTTTTGAGGTTTGATTGAGTTCTAAATTAAACAAAATATATTTGAAGGGCTTGAGAAGAGTTCATTTTGCTTTGTTAAACTGTCTTTTTTCTTCTACTTTCATGCCCTATACATTTGCCTGATTGTTCATTCATTAGAATTTGTTTTTCATTAAAATTAATAATTTCACTTGAAAAAGAACTATGACATTCATTACAAAAATATATAACCTATTTTATTGGTATTCCATTAGAATTATAAAATAAGAGGCAATTTTAAAACAGGCAAATTCTATAACTGAACCAATCAAAATAGTTTACATTATTGTACTTGCCAACCTCGTGACAGTAAAAATTACACTTCTGGAAATAATTCAGAAAAAACATGTAATTTTAAAATTACATTGGGGAATGAAAATAGGTAGAATCCTAAATTTCTCTAAATTTAAATCATGAAAGATGGTCAAATCTTTCAAATCTCATGTTTATCAAGCCTTTCTAAGGCCTCATTCACATGTAACGCTCTTTCGCACAGCACCAGTTTGTATTAGGGAGAAAGGGGGATATGAAACAGTTTTGCCTTCAGACAGGTTCAGATGCACATTGTTTTTCATCCCTTAACCCATAAGCCACTGCGAGCAATGAATGATGTCACAAACGGGAATCAGATTGGTGGATTTCTAACGTTTACTTACATCTCCTTTGATATTGTTTACTATTGCTATAGAACACCATCAGAGTGTAACTCTTTAATTAATTAAAATACAAATTAATTAATTTAAAATGCAATTTATATACGAGACCAAATGATTAAAAGAAACCATATATGCTGCTGAGCGGTTTTAAATAAAATGTTTTATGGCTGCTAAAATTTCAAACTCTGTTTTTTGAAAAAATGAATAAAACGACAAATTAATAGTATTAATATGAATTATAAATGTTTTAATATTGATTATAAACATTTTAGAAAATATAATTAATTCATCTGTTAAAATTGTTTTGAATGTATTTTACGAAGATTTTAAATAAAAGCTTGTAATTTATGTTTATATTAACCAATTGAATAGCATTAGGTTTTATTTTATATATATGTAATGAAATTCAGTAATAAAATTTTTAAGAAATTTGAAATGATTAAATGACCATACAGACAGCTTATATTCTTTAAACTGCGTTTTCTCAGTTTGCATTTTTTCAATAAATCATTGTATTTAAAGTCCTAAAACTTATATAGATGTGACCTAAATTATTTAATATTTTTACCACTTAATTAAAGTAGTATACTTTATAAAAACAAGAATGGGTTTTGCAAAATACTGAAAAAAAAATTATTTGAAGTGGAAATGTGATTGAGATCATATTTGTTTCAAAGTTTTTGCATAAAAATGTGTTTTTATTTTTTCTCGGAAACTAATTCATTAATTACAAGATCAATCCTTAAAGTTATTAAGAACTTTCTAATAAATACAATAAGAAAATATGGCAGAAAAGCATTGAAAATTGTAGCAGAATGACATTTTAATTGTTAAACTTTTCTTCCAAAAATTTAAATTAAAAAAAAAATACTGGCAAAAATTCTTTTCTCAGCTTAAAGTTATTTTGTCTTACGAAATCATTTAATAGCATTCATAAACGTAGATAAAATAGAAGTTCTTAAACAAAAAAAAAGTCATTCACAAGGTACCGAGTCCCTTTGTCGAGTTGAAGCCGATATGCGCAACTTTAGTTTAGTAGTTAAGGGACCCAATCGCCAGATCCTGGGTGTGGTGAATCATTATCCACCACCCTTTCAGTTCGGTCACCACTGTAGCGACATTACGTAATTTTTTGGAAGCAGGAGAAGTGAAAAATGAGCAATGCCTGGGCCAGGAATCAAACCACGGACCTCTGGATTACGCCTCCAGTGTGCAGACCACCACATCACGAAGGCATGCTAGGAAGGCGGGAGAAATACCTTATAACTGTACATTTATAAAATATCACTAAGTATAATTAAAGACTACTTTTGCAAGCACAAAAAGATTAACAAACCTATTTATTCTCTTAAGGATGCTATAATTTAGCAAATTTCTTTTCCAATTAGCCAGATTCTCAATCAAAAAAAAATTATGCCAATCTGAGTCACAATACAAAATATAGTTATAATGAAGCAAACCGCATAATACATACTAATATTAATGACAAGAAAATAGCCACAAGCAGTCATTTCCATTGTTCTTGAAAAGCAAAAAAGTACAAGCAAATACATTAGCTCACTTCCCACAAAATCATTAGGATTGTCATGTTTTACCTTAATCAACACTAGAGTCACGATTTCATACAGGCATGTTAATGCAAGAATGAAGATTATATGGCTGGTTTTGCATCCATTATTTGAACTAGCACGAACACATATGCATGTATAACACAGAAAAATATCACATGTACAGCAGAAAGAAGAATCATAGCTGGAATTCCACAGTGGTAGCAAGTATAACAGTTTGAAAGTTAGCCAGTATTATGCGACATTAGCAAGGTCACTTTGATGCTTCATCGATGACTGCCAGAGAGGGACTGCCCTGTCCAGTCACAAATTTCACCCCTACCAGCTGACAAGGGAAAGCTAGTAACATCACATTTTGGATCTTTCTCCTATATTTCTCCACAGTAGTCTTTAATACTCACTCAAAAATTTAAATGAAAACTAAAACAGTAATTTGCATACAGATATATCATTACACAAAATACTTGATGATTTACAGACATCCTACCTTTTCCCAGAACAACTAATCCCATTACATTTGCAGAATAAAACTGTCCATGAAACTTGAGAAGTTCCTCTCTAATATCAATACCTTTAGACTTCGGAATAATGTTTAAAGTTTCAATATTGCCTACAAAAGAAATGAGTTGCACAAATGAAATAAATGTTAAGTAATGAAAAATTATTATTTCTAATACATACCTGCCATGAATCCATTTATTTTATTATGAACAACAATGTCAACATAACATTGCACCAAAACATCAAAACAGTAATAAATACTCAATATTATGAGGAATTCTACTTATGTTTAAAATTAATATGACATATACTTTAAACTGAATAAACTCTGACAGTACTAATCAGTATTTTAATCGTATGAAAAATAAGAAATATCAAAAAATTTAAAATAGTTTCTTTCAATGATTGACTATAATAAACACAGTTTCAGAAAAGTCTAGTGTAGTTTATACACGTTTTACATATCTCCAATTATGAAATAATTTCAGAAAAAAGTAAATTTACTTTTTGCTATATTAATTTTTCTTCTAGTGCTCTACTTTTATTAGACAAAATATGAACTCTATTTACCAGCTGCAACTGCAGAAATGCGTTATATTAGAAGTGCACAAACTTTTTAGCAGAAGGGTCACTCACAGAAACAACTTTAATTGAATGGAACAAGCTGCTTAATTTGCAATTCAGACATGTACCATATCAAATTTAAACTGATTTGAACACCATTACATATGAATGTAAGCAAGGAGGGAGGGGGTTTACTTTTCCCTTTGCATGTGCTACTGGAACTATTATGCCCAGTTCAGCTTGGTAAAAAAATTTAAGTTTGTGTTTGTGCATGAAAATGTAATATATATTATTTTAATAAAAATGTGTACAAGTTAGTCAGTTAAATACATTAACCCTTTCCAGCATGCTACCTTTTAAAGTTGGAGTTTTGATTAAAAAAAAAAAAAAAAAAAGGTAGGCAGTCTAATTAGGCCTAGAGGAGTACACAAGTAAAATTTTGTGAAGATCGCACTTATCGCTTTAATTCTGTGGGTGTGCCCAAAGTGGCACACTGATTGAATAGAGCTTCAAAAAGAGTGCTGAAACGAGCATTGTTGTCAATGAACTGACCGATGAGATGCGGAGAAACAAAGAATACAGACTCTCAGTTGTCCTAGATTATCAGTGAGCCCGGTCTGGGCACACCTAGGGTTTGCCGTTTGATTTTAGGCAAGATTTCAGGGTAAAAATTTAAAACTAATATAGAATAAGGAGATTAGCATACAGCCAAAAAATAACATAGAAATTTCAAACGATTCCTTTTATACTCTAAAAAAACTGGAAGATTTATTTGAAAAATGAGGGTCTTAAAAAACTAAACAAGGCTAAAATATATGGACTGGTTTGTGTTGAGCTGCCATCTACTATAAATAAAGAAGGTTCAGAATAACCTATAAACCGGTTTTCATTCAATTTTTCTGTGCGTACAGAAGGAAATTTTTAGATGTGTCCAGACCAGACACACTGTGCCGCAAAGGGTTAACTGAATTTTACCAACAATTTTTGTTATATTTGGTTGACAGCTAGTTTTTGATATTCTTAAGACAGATTACAAGTGTTGATCTGCCAGTTTAATTCTTAATTTTGACTTAGATTCATAAGAGAAAATGTTTATTCACATATATAAGTACTACAAAACATGGCGGCATGTCTGCTTGCATTATGTTTTAAGCGCAAAATTTCGGCAGGTATAGTTTAATAAAAAGTCAAGAATGCCTTAATCATGGAATCAAGACTTTAATTTAATCATAAAACCATGATTTGGTCAGAAGTTTGTAAACTAATAAATTCCATTTGAACATCTTCTGAACCTTCTTCAACTACAACAGAAAAGGGATCCCCAAACAGTTTAAATTTAACCTTATACAAATAAAAATCTGTAAATCGCTTTTCAAATGAAGAAAGCAGTATCTTTATTTGATCTGAATAATACAGTTGTTTATCAGGGAAATTTTCTTTTCAGTTTCTTCAAGTAAGAAAAATTGACAAAATTTTGATAGCCAAGCTGCTTTGAGAGCATCTGAAGTTTTAAACCAGCTACTACACTGACAAGTTGACTGATGAATTGGTTTTTTTCCCATCAATTTCTTGTTTAGGTCATTCAAGTAAATAAGTCACACTAGAAAAACAGTTCCTTTAACATCCTAGTTTGCTTGCCTTTTTCTTCAAGGAATGCTATTAATTCATCAATCAAACACCAAACCTTTTCAAAACCCCTACACAGCTCAACCACCATACTTCAGAGTAACATATGAGATCACTATGTGGTGCATCTGGCATTTTAGGATTTCCTTCAATTACCTGTGGTTTAAACCATGTGAATGAATAAAATTGATTGTATCGCTCATTACCTTCATTATGCGGCCAAATCCTAGTTATTTCGCACACAGCTGTTCTTGGTGTGTGATACAGGGATACCCAAGCAAATCTTTGCCTCTCATCCAAATGGTTTCTCAGTACACTCACCATGACATTCGGAATTCCAATCATGGCTGGAGCTCCATCAGTAGCGATACTAATTGTGAGGATGCCTTTGTAAATACATTCCTTTACACAACAAGAGAATGGTGAAGAAATTCGATTTTACGATTTCCATCCTCTCCCTCAAGCTTTGAAAATGTTGAGAGTGTTTCATGTCATAGTGTCGCTCAATATTATACTCCTTGTAAACACTAATCATAAAATTACATATCAAGCATGCAATTCTATTATCTTGCTCCACGGAAAAATAGTTCGAAGTATAGGCCTCCGAAAATTTCCTATTATCGTCCACTACCTTTCTTTCCGTTTTCAATCTGTTCACCATGGGCAAGTAACTACCAAAACCATGTGGAACAAAAATGACAAAAATTCTGTGTTGGTTCCTCTTTCAAAATAACATATAAAAGAAAAAGAAATATTCAAAACAAGAAATTTCTTAATGATCTCAAAAAGAAAAATAAACACACAAGTGATAAAATTATGTGTAGTCATAAAGCCAAAAATGCAACAACGCAAAGCAAATGAATGCAGCACTTCTGATCTGAGTGAATATTTTTCTTTTCCTTTTTACCAGCACCCATGCGTGCAAACACACTTATGCTGTGCCATACCACAGCCTTTTCCTCATTTTGTGCACCATAACGGCTAGACGCAGTTTTGCACTCAGGCGGTGAAATTCAGATTTGAAGTGAGATTTGGCGAGCCAAATCTCACTTCGACAGGAGAGAGTAGAATAAGTAACAAAGGGGGAAGCAGTGAATTTTTTTTTCCTGCTTGCAATCTCTTCTAGAGACAACCAATATGTCAAATCGCAACACAATTTTGAAGAGATCTCAGTGTGCCACAGGTTGTGCATCCCAGTTAAATGATTAAATTATCTGTTTAACTGTGCTTTTATAGTTTGTATTACAATAATAAGATTAACTTCTATTATTTTAACCATGTTCTTTCTATGCGTGGACCAAATTGCTTATTTGTTAGAGTCATTTGCAATAGAGACTTTTTTTTTCATATTTGCTACTCATTCTATCAGAAATTTCATTAATAACTGGTATAAGAACAATTTACACGTGCCATAATTTACTTTTTATTTTAATGTGATCTACGATCAATGGTAATCAGAATATATAAAAAATTTATATCAAGTACACTTTATTCCTAGAAAGCTGATGAAATAGCAATTATGTATGAATTACTGAATTACTGCCAAAGTAATTTCACGTAAGAAAAAGTAGAAGAAACAAAATTATGAGCATTTAAAGTAAATGTTACACACTAAGTAATATTTATTAGAAGTTCAAATAATAATCAGAACATATTTCTATATCTGCAAGAGTGAAAATGAAGAATGACAAGCTCGTGCTCATGTGATGTCAGTGAAAATAATAAGACTAGCATATTTGAGAAAGTTTGGACAAAAATGAAACCATAGCTGCTGGTGCCATCTACTGATGAAAAATGATAACAGCTATGAAATAATTTCTTTAAATGCTGAGGGTAAATTCGGATTAGAATTTGGATCATTAACTAAAACTGAAAGATTTTTTATGAATGTAAAATCCAGTTCGCCAAAGGAAAATGTTTTCTGAATCATTTTGGTGGCAGAAAAATGGAAAATACGATTTTTTTGTCCAACGGTGTTGAGCAACACATGTTGCTTTTCTTTAATTCATAAAAAATCTTCCAGTTAACGAACTAAATTCAATCCAAATTTGCCCCAGCCTTTAAAGAAATTATTTCATAGTTGACTTCACTTTTCATCAACAGATGATGCCAGCTGCTATGTTTTCATTTTTTTCTCAGAACTTTCTTGAATTTTCTAGTCTATTGTTTTCACTGGCATCCCATCTGTCTGTCATAATTTTCCCTCTTACAAATGAAGAAGGTTCTTTAGTAAAAACCTTAGAAACTAGTATTGCAAATTCATAAAAAAGTAAGGCTGATTACTGTTGTTTGAACTTATAAGCATTTCTTTCATAAGTATAATAATTATAAGCATTTCTTTCTTATAGATTAGAGCAAGTATGAGCAGTAAAGTCGCTAAACACTGCTCGGTTTGCGGTCTGAATCCCAGGAAATGGGCTCACGCCATAGTCATTTTCAGATTAATGTGTAACATGTATACAAGCCACTTTCACTTACAAAGTTCTCCATGAAGGCATCGCTCTCCTTAGACAGATAGGTAGCCATTGAATGCTTTGCCGTAATTAAATAAACCAAACCAAACTTTCTTATATATTCATTTATTCAAACTTTCTATAATACATTAAAATAAATGCAGATTTTATATACCACAAATAAATACAGTATAAGCTTAATTTAATCTTTACTATTATTTGAATTCGAATACACATCTCATGGCAAATAATCAATCTGACAAATAAATTTCTTGAAGAGTGAATTTTTATTAGTTGCAAATGATGAATCTGCTGTATGTCTAGCTGTGTCTATGGCTGTCTAGCTGTGTCTATGGACATCAAAACATGCTTTGTAGATTCTTTGGCAGCTCCAGAATCGAAGATTCTTTTTGACATAATCGAAAGTTCAAGCTTACTTTTATAAAATTGCTCTAACAGTCTGCCA